GTGGCGATGGCCACGGCTGCCATAAGGAAAAGAAAAAGCGCCAAGATGACGAACTGCATCTTGCGGTCCCAGATCTCATCTCACCAGGCTGTCTTTGGCCTCGCCATCGGCCGCTCGTGTCTCCGGGCTTCAGGAGACATGTCTCATGTCTTCTGACCCCGCCATCACGACACACAGGAAGACGAAGCCCTCGTTTTCCTGTGTGTTGTCAGAAGCCTTGGAAATGGCGGGTGGTCCTCCCTGGTGATCTCGGGAGCCAGCAGTACAGGAGGGCAACTCGCTTTCGGCATCCGGAAGCTCACTGGGCTCCGCTTGCGCACAGTGCGCACTGGCCTGGGCGAAGTTGAAAGACAACAGAAAAAGGGAAAAAGGGGAAAAAGGGGAGCCTCACCGCTTTGAGGCTGGAAAAAAAAGGAGGGGAGCCGCTGATCTGATGAAGTAACTGCTTTCCAAATTGGAATTGTGCAAAAGGTCACATGGCACCCAGTCAGTTTGCCAAATCTTTTCCTAGCAACCAGAGTTTGCGGGTCGGAGGGTTCCACGGAAAACGTGACGGATTTTCCCATGTCCGCTCCTTCAGCGCCATAGACGCCTCCACCCGCCGGAAGGTCGCAGTGACTGCCGCCGACTCCAGCTGCTTGGGGGTCGCAGGCACGCGCTCCGTCCTGTCCAGGCCCTTCGTCTCGTCAAAGGCGCCGGCCTGGGGGTTCGTCAGAATCAAAACCCGGCAACATGATCCACAAGAATTTACTACCGGCGGCACCCGTTTCTGGCAAGGGGATTCTTTCTGCCCGGGAGCTGGCCTGGGCGTTCTTCGTGTGCTCTTGCACGGCTGTGATTTCTGGGGACCACACTCGCGTGCGCCTCTTCTCCTGGAGGAGCTCACAGATCCAGAGTTCAAGGAGGGCCTCACAACACAGAAGTTCCCGCGCATGGCTGTGCACGGGGCCGCGGAGCTGGTGTTCCCATCGGTGCATGAGATCGCTGGCTCTGAGCCTGAGCTTTCCTAGTCAGGAAAGCTCAGGCTCAGAGCAGCGATCTCATGCATCGATGGGAACACCAGCTCCGCGGCCCCGTGCACAGCCATGCGAGGGAACTTCTCCCTTGTGAGGCCCTCCTTGAAATCTGGGTCTGTGTGGCGATTGCTCACCAAGATCTGCACCTTCTTGGCCACGAGCTCCTGCAGCTTGGCGGAGTTGTCGATGGCGGCCAAGCGCAGGCCGAGGACCAACAAGGAGAGCTCCTCTTGCGTAAGGCGCCCGTCTTCCCCTTGGCCACGAAGCACCCCGATGGCCATCCTGAGGCGCTTCCGCGCCTGCTTTTGCGGCTCGTCCTCGCCCGATGGCCGGCGTCTTCCCAAAGCGGGCCAGGCCGATGAGGACCAGCACCAAGATCCGGAAGTCCCCACCGGTCTGACCATTGGTCACACTCCTACACGGTTTGCCTCTTCAAGCCCTAAGGACGGGGGAAAAGAGAAACGTGACAAGCATCGAGCAACTGGTCTCAAAACAAAGCAAAACGACTGGAAACAGCGGCATCATCAAAAAACAACACTTGTTGGGCATGGATAGGGTTATTTTGTTCTGGTCTCAAAACAAAGCAAAACGACTGGAAACAGCGGCATCATCAAAAAACAACACTTGTTGGGCATGGATAGGGTTATTTTGTTTGGGCAAAGGCTGCACGAGACGCCAACACCAGGCGAAACAAACCAACTGTCGGGCCAGGAAGATGGCCACGTAGCCTCCGATGGCAAAGAGGGCCGCTAGCACCATCAGAGCTCGGCGCACCGGGAGCTGATTGGCCTGAGAAAGACACAGAGACAGAGAGGGAGAGATAAAAACAGAGAGAGAGAGAGAAACAAAAAAAATGTTTACAAGAATTCCAAAACCTGAAATGAGGGACATCCTGGCGAGCTAATGTTACCCCTCGAAGAGTAGGCAGCACCCAACCGCCAGCGCCTTGTCGCCCAGGGAGTCGGTGACATAGGCCCAGCGACCCAGCACCATGAAGGACCTCTGTCCGCAAGTGCGCCCCATGTCTGGAAAAATCAGGAAGTAAAAGGTGAGCGTTCGGTAGAAACAAGAACCAAGAAAAGGAAAGGAGAAAACTGAGAGGCTTAATGGACCTTCAAAATACCCTGAATGATGGGGATATTGCCCCACAAGCTCAAGGAATGTCCCATCTCAAAGGGTAGTTTGAGTGTGCAGGAGCAAACGTTGGAAGAAGAAAGGAAACAATGATTGATGCTAGCATACACATATGTATAGTATGTATATATATATATATTGTTACATACAAACCCGAAAACTCCCATGATCCTGGTTCAAGGTTGCTCCCAGAAAATTCTCAAACTGGACCCTTTATAAGGGAAACAAAAATGCCACCGTCCGATTCAAAGAGCGGCACATCAGAATGGGATGCCAGGTGAAGGCGGTGTCCAACTTCATGCCGCCCTGCACGGGCCCCAGCATCCCCACGATCACCGCCGCGAGACACCCCAAAACGACCAGAAACAAGAGGCCGTCTGCCAAACCCAAGGCCATTGCGCGGACACCTCGGCGACATCGAAAGGCTTGTTGCTGCCGTTCCAACTGTTGATTTTTCCCAATGTGGCTGTGGGTCAAAACCCTGTACCCCTGGTGAACATCAAAATAGGTGGCAAACGGATATTCATCCACGCTAAAATGGAGCCATAGGTTCTGCCCCATGGCCATGTCAACCCCAAAAAGGCCCTAGAGAGTGGTGAAGACTTGCTTGTTCTGCATGCTGGGAACCCCAGCAGATCGCAACCCAGGTTCCCCGATTCCCCTCCTCCCAAGCCCGGGCAGCCAAGGCTTGGGCAAGCTGTTCACAGGATCTAGGCTCTCTTGGCGAGAACCTCGGGCACCCCAAGGAATGAAATAGGACACCATTCTTTGAGGCTCACACTTTCCGGTGTGGCTTTGAAGTGGAGACCAACCCAATTCCCTTTGGAAGCGGGCAAATGCCGACCTCACATGTTATTGAGCTTCTCACGAAGGGCAACAACTTGCCCTTCAAATTCCACATCTTGCCCTCAAAGCATCGCACCAAAGGCCTCCACAGACGTGGCAACCAGACATTTTGGTCCCAACATCGGGGGAAACCTCCCCATCGGCTTGCAGATTGCTTTTGGGAAACCGTCCCAAAACGAAACCAGCCATACCCCGGGCCACAATCATTCGCCCTCCACAAAGGGACCCTGCAAGAAAACCTGGGTTCGATCAAAATCCCTTGCAAATCCGATTGTCCGGTGCCCAGACATATGTCTGGGTCGTTGTTCTTTCCTTAAACCACCCAAACAAGGGTACCCTCAAAGGCCACACCCATAAGCCTTGAAGCCAAAAGGGTTTGCGCACAAGCCAACCCCTATCCAAAGGTCCAAGTCGGCGACTTTTCGGGGGACCATTTTGAACATCAAGCGCCCTACACACATTTCCAAACCCGAGATCCGGGCGAAGATGCGCGGATAGAGCGGCTTTCTCCGCCGTGCTCCCGGCCCACTGAGCCGATTGGGCGTGGCGCGTACCTTTTAGGCGGGAGGTGGTGATTGCAGCTTGGCGTTTCGGGAACGCAAACAAAGGACAACTGAAAAATGGGTTGTTTGGAAAATGATTGATTGGGTTATGGCACAGGCCGTTCTTGAAGCCCCAGTCTACATTTTCTGAATATGTTAAAACCCCAAGACCCCACTTTGATTCTGCCAAAAAAGCCAGAGGATGGAAATTTGCTGGGAAATCAGTCTGGCTATATGCCAACTTGTGTTTTGCATATAGTTTTTTGGGGACACATGGCAATAGCCCTGAGCGGCTTAGCAGCGCAGCTTTTGTGCACTCTGTCCTCAGAAAGCGATCCCCTACGCCCCTTAAGGCTGTGGTCCCCCTCCCGGCAAAAAGCAATCCCTGCAAGAAGAAAAATCCTCTTCCAAAGACAAGTCCCAAGAAGCTTCCGTGTTCCTGGGCAGGGTACGACACATGCCCTACATATGCAAGTAAACCAAACACGCCCACCCCACAAAACGCTACCGTGGTAAACTACGGTGAAGTAGGGGGTCCCTTGTTCGCCTCCTTGACTTTCTAGATATATATATATATATTATATATATATATGTATATATATTAGTGCATCCACCGTATCACTAAGGGTACGGCTCCGCACCCTCGGACACGTTGCATCTGTTTTCGCATATGCCAGCTCAGCACCGGGCGCTCAGTTGGCTCGAGACTTGAAACGAAGGGCTGAGACGAAGGGCTGTCGTGTACCGCGGGTGTACTGCGAACGACTCCAAACGCTTGCCTATATAGGAATGGACTTTGATTGGCCCTTTGGTGAACATCGGTATCCTTTGCAAAAGGGGAGCCCAAAAGAAAAAACAAAAATAATGTCGGGAAAATCCCTGGTTCGGCAGATATCCAAATGGCGAGAAAGTGTGACCCTAGGGCTCAAGTAGTCCACTCCTGTGAATAGCTCAGAACCCCAAAACCAATCCATTTTCGGGAGACTTGAACCGCCGTTTGTGGATTGCACAAGAACATTGCGAGAGGATGTACGCCTGGCTTGTACCAACCTTGCTGGGACATCAGACTGTCTGGCAATAAATCAGCATGATTTTGGGGCTGTTCGGGGTACATGGCAATGGCCCTTGGCAGCTCTTATGCGCCCATTTGTCCAAGGACTGTGATCTGTCCTGCGAGACGCTCAGCGCAACGGCGCGGCGTCTTGCGATTGTGAAACAAACGGCGGCCCCTCGAGGGATTCACAAACGCGGGTTCCTCAAAGATGTTGCAATCCCAAGGTGGAACCCGTTTGTTTTATGGATCCATGCAAAGGGCCACCTAATTTCAGAGGGACTCGACAACTGCCTTTCTGAAGTCCCATAAATCGAGCACATTGGCATTTTTGCCCTCGCGACCACCTAACAGAGGTCGGGGACATGTGGTCAAGGAATCACAGCAGCAAAGCCAGCGCCGACGAGAGACTCAAACCGCATCGCAGATCAGCGGCTTGCCAATTCCGGCTGTCGGAGTGTCCGGGTGATCCACCCTTGCACTCTCCCGCGTGAAGCGGCGACAAAGGCAGACGACCATGCCTACTGCCAGCAAAGCCTCAAAGACAAGCTTCACTGGAATGCTGGCTGTGGCGATGGCCACGGCTGCCATAAGGAAAAGAAAAAGCACCAAGATGACGAACTGCATCTTGCGGTCCCAGATCTCATCTCGCCAGGCTGTCTTTGGCCTGGCCATCGGCCGCTCGTGTCTCCGGGCTGGAGACACGTCTCCTTTCTTTGGCCCGGATGCGGGCTTCGTCTTCCGGTGCGTCGTCAAGAGCCCCGGAAACGGCGGGTCCTCCCTGATCTCGGGAGCCGGTGCGGGACTCGCTTTCGGCTCCGGAAGCTCACTGTCGGCTGGCGCATGGTCCGTGGCCTGGGAGTTGAAACACAACAGAAAAAGGGAAAAAGGGGAAAAGGGGCGGCTCACCGTTAGGCTGGGAAAAAAAAGAGGGGAGCCGATCTGATGAAGAAACTGCTTTCCAAATTGGAATTGTGCAAAAGGTCGCATGGCACCCAGTCAGTTTGCCAAATCTTTTCCGCTCCTTCAGCGCCATAGACGCCTCCACCCGCCGGAAGGTCGCAGTGACTGCCGCCGACTCCAGCAGCTTGGGGGTCTCCGGCACAGGCTCCGTCCTGTCCAGGCCCTTCGTCTCGTCAAAGGCGCCGGCCTGGGGGTTCGTCAGAATCAAAACCCGGCAACATGATCCACCCGTTTCTGGCAAGGGGATTCTTTCTGCCCGGGAGCTGGCCTGGGTGTTCTTCATGTGCTCTTGGACGGCTCGGATTTCTTCGGGGGACCACACTCGCGTGCGCCTCTTCTCCTCCCGGATCTTCCGCACGGCCAACGCCCGCTTCACCTGCGCCTCGAAGCTGTGGATCATCTTCCGCGGGTCGAAGAAGTCGGACCCCGCGTGCTCGCGCAGCTCCTGCTTGGAGAGGTAGGGGAAGGTGTCGCCCGTGTCCGACTCTTCCGGCATCTCCTGCGCCAGGAAGGCCGCGCTGCCGGGCAGCTCCTTGACGAACTGCGCCTTGCGGGGCACGCGGACCAGAAGCTCTTGCCCCAGCTCCGACCGAAAGCAGTCAGGAAAGCTCAGGTTTAGAGCTGCGATCTCATGCACCGATGGGAACACCAGCTCCGCGGCCCCGTGCACAGCCATGCGCGGGAACTTCTGTGTTGTGAGGCCCTCCGCGAACTCTGGATCTTGGCGATTGCTCACCAAGATCTGCACCTTCTTGGCCACGAGCTCCTGCAGCTTGGCGGAGTTGTCGATGGCGGCCAAGTGCAGGCTGAGGATCAATAAGGAGAGCTCCTCTTGCGTGAGGTCCCTGTCGTCCCTATCACAAAGCACCCTGATGGCCATGGTCAGGCGCTTCCGCGCCTGCCTCTGCGGCTCGTCCTCGCCCGCGATCTTCATGATGGCCGGCGTCTTCCCAAAGCGGGCGAGGCCGATGAGGACCAGCAAGAAGATCCGGAAGTCCGCTCCGGGCTGGCCAGGATTGCTCACATCTCCTGCACGGTTTGCCTCTTCAAGCCCTAAGGATTTCGACCCGACTAGGGCTGCTGGTAAGGATTTCGACCCGACTAGGGCTGCTGGTTTCATCCGAACGGCAAGCCATGCCTCCCAGTTGCTGGTAGACCGCCTTCAAATGTCCGTCCGAAACGGAGACTGGAGTGCCTGCGCCCAACTCCGCGAGGTTGATGCTGAAGGAGTCCTACGTCTCATCTCCGGAACCGGACAAAACCGCAAAAACATGACAAAAAGCAACTGGTCTCAAAACAAAGCAAACGACTGGAAACAGCGGCATCAACAAAAACCAACACTTGTTGGGCATGGATAGGGTTATTTTGTTTGGGGTTTGTTGGGGATGGTTTAAGGTGGGCCGGTTTAGGGTTGGTTGTTTAGGGTTGGATTGAAATTGGTTTACGGTGGGTTCAGGGTGGGTTTCAGGGCGGCTTAAGGATGAGTGTAGAGTCAAATACAGTCGTTTCCGGGTGCTTCCTCCCTTCCCCCCTGCCAATAAGTTGTTTTTTTCTTGATGCATTAGTTTGTGAATGATGCCTTGATATCTTCTTTTTGACACCTATCCCACCTTCTGCAGCAGTTCAAAGGCCGCACGGGACGCCAACACGTCCTTCATCTTCAACGGTTGCGTGCTAGCGCCCAATAAACACGCGTACACCCGGAGACCCGGGAGCTGGTGCACCTCGTAGGGGTCTGCCTGGACGGGAAACCCCGAACCCAAACCAAGCCTTGCACCAAACCCCAAGGCCCTAAGCCAAACTCAACACCCAAACCTACCCGCCACTAAACGGAGCCACCAAACCAGAGATCTCTACCACTTGGCTTCCTGGCACGCCTCTAGTTGTTTCCCGACACGGTCGTTCCCCGACTCGCACTTGACATGGTCGTTTGTTTCCTTACTTGGTCTAGTCTTCCTGGCACTCGACGAAGGTGGAACTGGCCACGCTCGCAGTGCTGGAGGCGTCGTCGTAGACCGGGTAGTAGTCCTTGTCCTTGTGGGAGTCGCGAAGCTTGAATGCGTCCTCGTGTCTGGTTGCGGGTTGATTTAGACTTGGGGTTGGGTTCGGGCGTCCTCACAGAGCGTGCCCCGGCTCCAGCGCTCCTCAAGCCACTTGGGCTCCTGACCTGGCACCAGCGCCCCGGCTGCAGTGGGCAGCGCCAGCACGGGCAGCTTCGGCGTCTTCTGGTCCTCCCAAACTTGAAAGTCAATGGTCGACCTTTGGGAACCTTGACAAAAAATGGACGAAGGACCCAAATAATCAGGTCGGCTTGCAACGTGTCCTGGAAGAAAAACTTGGGATCCTCCGTACTGGGGGGCGGCCTTCCGCTCGCCGCAGTCGCCCTGGAGCCGGCGCAAGTCACCAGCTGCGGAGACACGGCGTCTGCTTCCCTCCCAGGCGCAAGCCGAACAGCGCAGGCAGTTGCCTGCAGGCTCTTGGCCTCGGGTGGAGGTGGCGCGACGTCGCCTACCCGCTTGGGCGGCATGGGCGAAATGTGCTTCGCCGTCAGCGCACCTTGAGGGAGCGTTGTTTTTTGTCAGACCAAGAGGATCCTCTATCAAATTGAAAGAGAGGGTTCTCCATGACGCCCTTTTCTATCCATTGTTTCGTTGTTAGTAACCCTATACGTCCTCGACTTTGTTTTCTGTTTCTTCACAACGTGCGCCTCGAGGCGTCAGCGGCAAATGGCCGAAACTCACTGCATGCGCGTACAAGCAGCACCAGGTGGGCAGGTCTGGTGGGGCCAGCGATGGCCGCGACTCCGCCCCAAAGGACTCGTGGCTCGAACACGCCTCCATCACGGAAAACTCGTGGCCGGGCCGCAAAGAGCTAAGGAGCCTTTTGGAGCGCTGGGTGTATGCCCAACTTACCAAAATCTGAAAATGAGGCATGTCCAGTAAATGACCTTCATTTCTGGACCTTCATTTCTGGAGCTACTTTTCAATGTGGTTGGGTCGCTGAAACCTTTGAGCCTGGTCTGCAGGTGACTAGTCTACTGGTTTGGGAAGGAGCTCTGGGCATTGACCAACTCGAAGGGACCCTCCCCCTCCCTCAGGCACAAGAGGCCCTCACTGCGGATTAGGGGGTTCCCTTGTTTCCCTACTCGACCTTGTGCATCCGTATCACGAGTACGGCTCGCACCCTCGAACATGTTGCACTTGTTTTCGCATATGCCAGCTCACCGCGCACTCAGCTGGCTGGAGACGCGAAACGAAGGGCTGAGACCAAGGGCTGTCGTGTACCCGTGCGGGTGTACTGCGAACGACTCCAAGCGCTTGCTTTTCTTGGCATGAACTTTGATTGGCCCTTTGGTGAACATCAGTATCCTTTGCAGAAGGGGAGCCCAAAAGAAAAAACACCATGTCGAGAAAATCCCTGTTTTGGCAAATTATAAACCAGCATGATTTGGGTGCCATTCGGGGTACATGACAATGGCCCTGGCAGCTTTTAGCGCCGCTTTGTCCAAGGACTGTGATCTGTCCTTAGGATATGTTCATATCCTGTGAGACGCTCAGAGAAACGGCGCAAGGTCTTGCCATTGTGAAACAAACGGCGGCCTGGGATTCACAAATGGGGGTTCCTCAAAGATGTTGCGATGAGCCTAAATTTCAAGGTGGAACCCGTTTTATGGATCCGTGCAAAGAGCCACCTAATTTCAGAGGAACTAAACAACTGCCTTTCTGAGCTCCAAAAATCGAGCACATCGGCCCTGACGTCTGCTGAGGCATTCCTGATCGGGGACGTGTGGTCAAGCAATCACTGCAGAAACCGCCAGCGCCGACGAGAGACTGGTCAACTCTGCGGCTCAAACCGCATCGCAGATCAGCGGCTTGCCAAGTCCGGAAGTCCGGCTGTCGGAGTGTCCGGGTGATCCACCCTTGCACTCTCCCGCGTGAAGCGGCGACAAAGGCAGACGACGAAACAGAGTGAATTCAAAAGTTAGAAAAGATTAACTCCCAAGTTAATGCTTTTGAGCTTCAGGTTCCGTGGACCTTCCATTCCAGGAATTAACTTCGGATTTAATTCTTGGCCCTTGCATTTGGGACCTTGGGATTAACTCTAGAGGTAATCCCCTTGGTGGCTGGAAGACTCATTCCAGGAATTAACTTCTGATTTAATTCTTTTCTATTGCATTTCCGACTCTGATTTACACATATTCCGACCTTGTGGTGAGCTCCATCATCATCATCATCATCATCATCATCATCTTCATCTTCATCATCAGCCTCATCATCATCCTCATCTTCATCCTCATCATAATCATCATCTTCCTCATCATCATCATCCTCATCCTCATCATCATCATCATCTTCATCTTCATCATCATCCTCATCCTCATCATCATCATCCTCATCATCCTCATCATCATCATCCTCATCATAATCCTGATCATCCTCATCATCATCACCATCCTCATCATCATCCTCATCATCCTCATCATCATCCTCATCATCCTCATCATCCTCATCATCCTCATCATCACCCTCATCATCCATCATCATCATCATCCTCATCATCATCATCATCCTCATCATCATCATCACCATCCTCATCAATATCATCATCCATCATCACTTCCTCATCATCATCATCCTCATCCTCATCATCATCATCTTCATCTTCATCATCATCCTCATCATCATCATCATCATCCTCATCATCCTCATCATCATCATCCTCATCATAATCCTGATCATCCTCATCATCATCACCATCCTCATCATCATCCTCATCATCCTCATCATCATCCTCATCATCCTCATCATCCTCATCATGCTCATCATCACCCTCATCATCCATCATCATCATCATCCTCATCATCATCATCATCCTCATCATCATCATCACCATCCTCATCAATATCATCATCCATCATCATCATCATCCTCATCATCATCATCATCCTCATCATCATCATCACCATCCTCATCATTATCCTCATCATCATCATCATCCTCCTCATCATCATCATCATCCTCCTCATCAGCATCCTCATCATCATCATCCTCATCATAATCCTCATCCTCATCATCCTCATCCTCATCATCCTTTTCCATCATGCTCATCATCATCATTCTCATCATCACCCTCATCATCCTCATCCATCCTCATCCTCATCATCATTATGCTCTCATCACCCTCATCATCCATCATCATCATCATCCTCATCATCATCATCATCCTCATCATCATCATCACCATCCTCATCAATATCATCATCCATCATCATCATCATCATCCTCATCATCATCATCATCCTCATCATCATCATCACCATCCTCATCATTATCCTCATCATCATCATCATCCTCCTCATCATCATCATCCTCCTCATCAGCATCCTCATCATCATCATCCTCATCATAATCCTCATCCTCATCATCCTCATCATCCTTTTCCATCATGCTCATCATCCTCATCCTCCGCCATCACCCTCATCATCCTCATCCATCCTCATCCTCATCATCATCATCCTCATCCTCATCCTTCATCCTCATCATCCTCATCCTCATCCTCCTCATCATCATCATTGTCATCATAACCCTCATCCTCATCATCCTCATCCTCCTCATCATCCTTATCATCATCACCATCCTCATCATCATCCTCATCATCCTCATCCTCATCCTCATCATCATCATCCTCATTCTCATCATCTTCATCATCATCATCCTCATCATCATCACCATCCTCATCATTATCCTCATCATCATCATCCTCCTCATCAGCATCCTCATCATCATCATCCTCGTCATCATAATCCTCATCCTCATCATCCTCATCATCCTTTTCCATCATGCTCATCATCTTCATCCTCATCCATCACCATCATTATCATCATCCTCATTCATCATCATCATCATCCTCATCCTCATCCTCCTCATCACCATCATCCTCATCATAACCCTCATCCTCATCATCCTCATCATCCTCATCATCCTCATCATCCTCACCATCCTCATCCTCCTCATCATCATCATCCTCATCATAACCCTCATCCTCTGCATCCTCATCATCCTCATCATCCTCATCATCCTCACCATCCTCATCATCATCCTCATCATCCTCATCATCATCATTCTCTTCATCATCATCATCAACCTCATCATAATTCTCATCCTCATCATCATCATCCTCATCCTCATCCTCATCATCCACATCATCATCATCCTCATCATCATCATCCTCATCATCATCATCCTCATCATAATCCTCATCATCATCATCCTCATCATCCTCATCATCATCCTCATCCCATCCTCATCATCATCATCATCATCATCGTCCTCCTCATTATTCATCTTTCTCATCATCCCATCATACTCATCCTCATCACCATCATCATCACCCTCATCCCCATCATCCTCATCCATCATAACCATCATCCTCATCATCATCCATCACCATCATCATCATCATCATCCATCATCCATCCTTTTCCATCATCATCAGCATCCTCATCTTCATCCTCATCATCCTCATCATCATCCTCATCAGCATCCTCATCATTCATCATCCTCATCATCACCATCATAATCACCCTCATCCCCATCATCATCCTCATCCATCATCATCATCATCCTCATCATCATCCATCACCACCACCATCATCATCATCATCATCATCACCCTCATCCTCATCATCATCCTCATCCATCATCATCCTCATCATAATCCTCATCCTCATCCTCATCATCTTCATCATCATCCTCATCATCATCATCATCATCATCATCATCCTCATCACAATCCTCATCATCCTCATCATCATCTTCATCCGAGCTCCACTGCCCCGACATATGATGTATGATATCTCCTTTGGGCAGCATTTAAGTTACCATCCATGGCACTCATGAGCATAGGTGTCCTTTTGGTAAAATAGATGGGTTTCCCTGGTACATGGGGCATAAAGCCAATTTAAACCAGTGGCTTGCCCATCTATTTCTCAGCAACTTGACCTAAGGCCACCTAGACTGATGAGGTTATGATAAACCAAAGCAGGGATCCCCTTTGTCAAGTTCTTCCTAAGGTCGGAGAGTTCCCCTGTTGCCCAATGAACCTGCTTGTTTGTTGGTGGATATCCAAACAAGAGCAGATGTGGCATTCACTAGGCAACTGGGCTGTTGGTTAATCCTCGTTCAAGGCCCATTTCCTTCAGTCTAAGAGATTGGATGACAAGATAATCTTCAGGAGGTCAGTTTCTTGATTGCTAGAGCGATGCAACAGAATCAGCAATGTCCCCAATATTCACCTCTAACCCGACCCTTTGACTCATAATGTTGCTTGGATAACCACATTACCGCTTGTCTCTTCCGTACCTGCCTAAACGCGGGAGAGATGCGCTGATCCTTGCGGAGCCCTCCGTGAAAGCTGATCCGAACCACCCCAGAGCTTATTTTCGGAATCCTCAGAAGCATTTGCACTGGAGCAATTTGTTCCCGTTTTCTGGGTCCAAGAGAGGCCACGCGAATTCCATTGAAGGCCTCTGGCTCATGGCGCCTCAGGGGCCGTTTTTGATGTCTCAGGGTGCATCACATGTTCAAGGGGACCCTTGCCAGATTGGTTGCCAGATTTTTGATGTCTCAAGGGAGCATGCTTTTGACAGCACAATTTCTAGCAGCGGGTTGCTTTTCAAGCCTTCGAGCTGTCGCCGCCATGGGCGCACGTGGCAGGAAGCGCAAGCCTTGGGAAGACTGTGAGGAAGTCCAGTTGCCTGCCGACAGCAGTCTTCGGGAATGTGCGAAAAGATGGCTTCAGCAGAAAACCTTGCTACACAAGGCGCTGACGCCATCCACCG